AGAGGCAAAGCGTGAAATGGACATGGGAGCGGCATGTCTATGACACGTTTCACTGTGATACTGAAGAGTTTGGTCACAACCGTCTGGAGATGAAACATGACAAAAGACATTATTTGGAAGAGGTCACTGTGACCACAAGTATAGCATCATGGAGAGGACATGGCAGATGGGGAGGATGCTGTTGGCAAGGCTTCACAAGGTCCAAAACACCCACAGCACTGGCCCAGTTCATACTGGACCAGGTGAATTAGATAAAGGTGGCCGGTAGCTAGATGGTTATTTTCCTGAGGAATCTCAGAGAAAGCCTTTAAACATAAAATAAATATATATAAAGAAATAAAGTATATATATTATATACTCTTTTTGCACTTTCACTCATTTTAGAATCCACCCAAATACTGAGCCAGAGACTTACATCATTTCTCAGTGCACACACTCACACACACAAACACACAACTACACAGTGGTCTGTTCCTCGGCAACTGCACAGTTACTAAGAGACTGAATGCAAAGAGGCAGTGTTTCCATGGCAATGCTTGTGGCTGAGTCATCTCCACTGCAGTACATGCTTGTATATGAGTTCACATATATTTGACTGTGATTCAGTGGACACTCGTTTGTATGCATACAGTTCTGAATACAATATGCAGAATGTTCAAACCCAGATTATGACTTGTGTTGATAATGTCCCACAGCACAGGGCCGTGGGCTGTACTGGACCCACAGCAGGCTTTTAACCTGAATTTGAATAAAGTGTAGGATGACCCAGGGATTAAAACACCAAACTAATTGCCACCACCCCCGCCCCCTTTTTTTTAAATACATATTTTTTGTTATATTAATACATTGCTGGTGAAAAAAGAAGCAACTTTCCTTTTTATTGGGTGAGTAAGCATTTCGTGTTAGGCATGTGCATTTGAATACTGATTTTCAGTTTCTGCTGCTTATTTGTAAGGCAGAAGAACAGCTTGAGTAAACCTGTGAATGGACACTAAAGGTGACCTTCCAAGTGTTTCTGATAGAGTTGTAGCCCATCCTTTCATGGAGCAGAGTTAGGCAGCACAAATCAATGTTATTTAATTTAATCGTGTTTTAGATGAAATTTTGTGCTGATTCTTCAGGTAATTCATGAATTCACGAGAGCTTGGAACATGATTTGCCTGTGTGCTCCAACACAGTGGATTTGAAATGAAACAATCAAGATGTTGATGATTGAGGTGCAAAAGTACTCCTATTCAGAGGTTCAAGTAAGTGGGCAAACTAAAACACTTTTACATAAGATTGGTTTTAATAATGTGCCTTGTAATCAATCACTGCTCGAAGTCCAGAGCCCCTCAGGTGCTCTTCTACTTTGTCTTCTGTAACAGAAAAAGCAGTCTTGACTGGACTGATATCCTGGCAGCTTTTATTTCACCAGCATCATGGAGGCTCTTTAAATGTTTGGTGCCACTCTAACCCGGTCTTTCTGTTCCTGAGTGTAATCAGTGCTCTGTGCTTTGTTGTATTAAAACATGACAACATGACAGTGATGGAGTCACAACCTTCAGAGA